CTGGTCAGCGATCAGACTGTGCACTGGGCTTCTTTGTCACCGCTTGGAAGCCTTCGTCAGGTGACCGAGACAGGCAGCCACTACAGTTCGGTTTGCTCCCCGACACAAAGCCCTGGGACGATGGGACGATGGAAGCGAGTGGCGCTTCACTTCGCCAGAGAGAAAACCAGAAAGTTGATTTAAGCTGATGAAGATCAAGGCCAATCTTTTCTCAAAAGTGCACAAGATCTTGACCCACCAATCATAACCTTCCCGCTTTTTGCCAAGCAAATATGTCTTAGGATTTGCGTTATTCGCCCAACCGCGTGGTCATAACGGGTTGCCCGTGAGCGGGCCACATGGCCGTGCGCGAGGTCGCGGCCGCCGTTCGCTGACCCTGGGCTTCGACAAGAAGTTGAGTCTTGAGGGGAGAGGAGTTGTCCTGGAGCTTCGTCTCGTGAAGGAAGATCTTCTGACGCTTTTGAACGGACGGACACAGCGCGTGCTGAGATGAGCTGGCGATGAGACGCACACAGAGGAACCAGCAAACCGGGAATTCAAGACTGTAGGGCTGTTGGGCGACCCGGTGCATGGACGATGTGGCTTGCTCGTTCCTAAGAACGCGGTGTGATTGAATAGCCAACGACCTGGAAATTAGAAAGTAGATGAACACCAATGATTTGCCGTGCCCCTTTTATGTTGAGACCGGTATTGAGAGGGACTGTGCCATTTGACGCTGCCCAATTTTATGTATAATTGTATAGGCTGTATAGGATTCTAATTAGCCTTGCTGTGAGATTTGATGGATTCTGTGAGGAGATTACAGCTGTGGCATGCCCAATTAAGCACCCTAATACTCAAAACCTCCTGTTGTAGCAGATAAACCGCTTTGATACCTTTTGAGTGGTGCCCATGAGCTGCCAATCCCTCAGGCAGCTAGTGCAGTTCGAGCAGGGGAAGGTTCACCAGCAGGTGGACAACGACAATCCTTGACCTAAGGTCTGTTCTATGCTCCACAGGCCACCATGGGAGGCAATGAGTTCAAAATAAACCCCGGTAGTTGCTATAAGTCCATATCGGAATCCTTGGGCAAAACATGTCAGCCTTGCGTACACCTGCAAGATCATGCAATGTCTTTTTTCTGAAGGTTCACTAACGCAGGCAGATTGACCAAATCTAGGAGTGGCCTGCATGTGGACCTCCGTGTGTGCTCGTGCCCTCGTGCCACACCGACTTGGACAGGGCGCGAACTCACAATGTTTGGAATCGAGCTTGAGGGGTCTTTGCCTTTCGCTGGTTCCGTGTTGGTCGTTGGGGTCATGACGGTCATTTCCGTCCTCCGCTTCTGGCTTCGCCGATCGGTGCAGTCATGTACAATGCCATAGCCAGGACTCTGGGATAGTCTTCTGTTACATCGAAGGGTCATGGCTCCCTTGTGTTGAACACTTTTCAGCTGTGTTGTACCAAGAGGATCCACGAGGGTAGTTGTCCCAAGTGGTCCAGAAAGAATCTTGAAGGGAACACGTTCAATTTGAAGCACCTGAAGCGAACCGGGCCGCAGAGAACCGAAAGCCATGTCTTCCTGACACCGGTAGGCAGGTGCACCGGCTGAAAGGGCCATGGTCGACCTTGGAAGCTCCGACCCTCTAGTTGGCAGGCCTTCTTCCCAGCTGAGCTGTCGCTGCTTGAGACTCGCACTGGCAGTTCAGCCGGAAGTCAGCCGGAAAGAGAGAATGGGACGCAGTTTCGCCGTCCATGAAGTTTTTCAGCCCGGCAATCTGGTTGATATCTTGTAATACCTCGGTAGGCCCTTCTAGCTGGTCGATGGTGCCCATGTCAAGGGACTTAAACGCAAGAGTATGCAGAGCTTATCACCTGTGACCATAGTGACCAGTCGTGACCGGGAACTCCTTTTGCTCGATTCCTTGGGGCTCACCACTGCACCACCGGTGGAACCAACGAGAGCTGCACCTAGCGCCAACCGGATCGGACGGCACCGTACCCGCTGCACTCCGGTCCCAGAGACCCGTCGTGACCGGGTCAGGTGGTTGAGTCCAGCACCAAGCCCTCATATGTTTGTGTTTATCATTTTACATCCAAACACATGACTCCCGGCTCCCTGCCTTCCAAGAATTTTGAGAGAGCTTTGATCTTTCAGTTGCTTCAGTTACTCGTTTGTTTTTGAACTTTGCAGACTGCAGCGACAAGAAGGGCTGCGACATGGTTCGATCAATATCACATGTATCGCACCTTTGCAATTTGCCTGTCAGTGAGTCGCAGCATGTACTGTACAGGTAGGTGACACCAATCAAATCAAAAACAGTAAACATGCCAGGACCTCGCAAGGTGGTTTTGCAAACGTTGGTCTCAAAGTTCGATCCGTGGCATTCAGTGCTTGCAACCCAGCTTCCGCAAGCACATGCTAAGAGGGATGGAGAGGCATCAGGCTGACTGTAGTCTGGAGCTTCGGCAGTACAAGCCAAGTGCGGCTGCTTGGGCCGTCTCGCACGGCTGGGCCTTGCTGAAGCGAAGCTTTGTTCGCTTGAAGGTCCTGCTCAGCCTCCTCGCCGACCGACCGCAGGTCCAAAGCTTCCGTCAGACTTGAAAAGGCCATGCGAAGTCGGAAGAAGGGATGGGCAAGGCATGTGGCACACACATTGACATGTGGCACGCACCCTTTGGGCAGACTGGGCATCAGATGACGAGTAGAGAGTGATGTCCTGGGCTGACTTGGCATCAGCCCAGCATAGCCCAGCTATCTCTGCGGGACAGAATTGTGTTTAGCACGCTGTTCGTCGAGATGAGAAGAACTGGGCGGTCTTCGGATGCCAGACATACCCCTGGACGTTCATTTTGAAGCATGATTGGCGCAGGTATGCCTCACAATCTCTGAAAGGGAACGGAGTCTGACCCCTTGCCTTGCTTGTGAAAAGTATCCATATGTTTCAGCCTCGGCTGCATGGAGCCTCAATCAGATGCGTTTGAGCCTCCTTCCGACAACCTCGAAGTGGCTGTTCCACTACGTGCTGCCTACCATGAGCTTTGGGCAGAGTAGAATGAAAAGCTCATCTCCCTTTGCCCGGATGAGTTGGAAGAGTTGCTTCTAGAAAGCCTGCATGTGTGTCCAAACGCCTAAAACCATCTAAAACCCACGTGTTAGCACAAGGACCAGGCTTCGCTAACGCTTGTGACACCCATACGCACATATCCTAGCGCTGGAGCCCATTCTGTAGCCCCAAGTCGTTCTCCCATGTGGCCGGCCACTGGCCAGTCGTCCTCCCAGGCGCCGCACGAAACCGCAAAGACCCAGTCAGCAGTCGACCTCCCGCGGAGCGAGACATGTGTCGCCCGTGTCCCTTGGTTCGCTTGTGATGCCACATGTTGCACAGAGACTGAAGAGGGTCAGGACCCACTCCAGCATTTTTGTTTTTCTGTTGGTTCACATGTGAGATCCAGCCCAGTGAGTTGACGCATTCTTTTTGGAAGGTCGGGAGTTGAAACTAGATCATTTGAGAACACGGCAAGGAGATGTTTTCTGAGGGAAACCTTACCACCTAGATGCATGCTTGCTACCAGCCGGTGATCTCAGCGGTGCTGTCGAAGCAGAATTCTGCGTTTCATGCGCAGTGCGTGCAGCAGGGGTTCCAAACCGGGGTTGCTGACTCTGGAGTGGGCACCGAAATGGCCTTCTCTTTAAGTCCCTAAAGATGCCAATGTATGCCAATGTGGTGTTCCATGGAGACCAAGCATTTTGTGGTGCCATGATTGAGCCACCTTTCGCATGCTTTCGATCTGCTGCCAAGCCTTGGGGCTTTGAGGAGGAGTCAGCGTAGTCAGCTGAATCACCTGGTAGCAGTGTTCAAGGTGATCCAGGAAGGCACAGTTGGCACTGCGAAGGCCTGCTCAAGTCGGAACAGCTTCTTCACTAAGAGATTCCGTCGAACAGCCAGATGTCCACGGAACGAACGTCTCCGAACGTGCGCAGCGTGCGCCTCCAAGTGACTACATCTTCCCTGCGCATCCCTGCGCCAACTGGTCGATGAAGGTCGAGAGCTCAGCCAGATGGACAGTAGAAGGCCAAAGCCACCACTGAGAGGAATTCTTGAGAGCTCTGGTCCATGCTTTAACACCCGAAAGGTGTTCATATATCAAGTATGATGAAACATGATGTATACGGTGATGTACATACGTAAGACTAAGACTTGAGCTTTCGTTGGCAGGACTGAATGGGTCGATGTACGGGACTGGTTTGTTCTCACCGAGTCGAAGCGAAAGACCCAACGAGCTGCGTCCGCGTCCAATTCCCCCGGCACCTCGTGGCACAGGTCGGCACAGGTCGGTCCGGGGTCAGCTGAGCTGAGATGTCTGCCGATCTCTCGGAGAAAGCCGCAGAAAAGGGAGCCAGCCGGAGACTGATAGGCAGTTGAAGAGAGGCTCAGGTAGGTGATTCCAGGTTGTCTTAGAGGAGCTTTTCTTTTGGCCAATTCTTTGTTTTTGTATCACGATGTATCACGTATTTTTTAAGTCCACGGGCTCAGAATGATGTAGAAAACCAAGACTGATTTGAGAGAGATGAGAACATGGCATTAGGATGTTGGCTCAAGCTGCTGCTTATTTGTCCCACAAATTTGTCAAAAGCAGAAAACAAGCGCGAAACAGCCTAAAGCACCACTGCCCAGCTAAGTCAAAGACAGCATTCACTCCACACTGTGACCAGTTCAGAGTTCAGAGGTTTGCATCTAAGCAGCAAAGAATAGCTGAAACACAATCAAGCATGACAGGGCAACATAATTTGCATCGCTCAGTGTGAATAGACTGCTTCCTGCTAGGGTGATGAAAAGCATTCAAAACTTTGCGGTGGGGGGTACTACCCCCAAAACGGATCTCCAAGTGTCCAAAAGAAATCCATATTATGATGTATTTGGAGGAGGTTCCTCTGTACACTTGCATTTTTCGTTACTACCAGGTGGGTCCCCCCATCTTGATATCCCACATAGGGGATCATCAAGCATCTAACACCACCAGACCACCCAATTCCGTGCACGTGTTTTCCAGCAATGATCCGCCCTGGCCGAGGGTCCAAGCGTGCAAAGCTCGGACTTGTTGGCTGCAAGGGTTCGTTTTGTCCACCTCCATCCGGCTCAATTCCCATCTTTGCATGTCTGGAAGTATGCCTACTCCATAGGAAACTGCCGAACAGATTGGGTCTCTCCAAAAGTCAATTGGGAAATCCTCCAAAAGACACTATATGAGTGACTTAAGTGAACGGCCTCTCAAGATGGATAGGAAACGGAAAACCCATCGATGGGCGGACCACTTTGGTGGTTGGAGTGTGCACTCCAAGGCCCCCCCAAGACGGCTTTGAAGGCGCCCGAGGCGAGGAGACCGCCGTTCTCACGGGCCCGGAGCGGTTGCTTTGTGCTGCTTTGTGCTCTGGTCGATGTTGGTTCGGAGGTGTGGGGATTCCGGGCGCGGATTCCGAGGCATTTTCTGGTTAGCTGGGTGAGGTTTCTGGGGGCAAACGACCAAAGAGGTTTTCGCTGAACCGGGTCTTGATCTCAACATCACAATGAGCACGCATTCTGTGCTCCGGCAATTCACTGCTAGCTGCTCCCAAGCCGCGGGCCGCGGCATGAAGCCATGACGTGGCATCAAAACCATCTCAAGAATCACCCAAGCCATTGACTCATTGACTCAAACATCCCTTGATGAAGCGGATATGAACATTCCTATGATTGGGAAATATGAATATAAAGAAAGGAATCACATTGGGTTGGGGATTGTGATTCTTGCAAACCTTCCAGTGATGAACTGTTGGCCCCTGACATAAAGCAGACCTGTTGCAGGCAAACCCTGCAGGCGAAGGTTCGCACGGGGGTTGAAGCAGTGGGTTGTGCTGGCACTGTGCATGGGCGCTTTCGAGCGCAGCAGGTGCAGAATTGAAGAGCTGACCCTTTGTTCCTATATATATAGTAGCTTTTTGCTCCTAGTAACAAGGCCAGGAGCCCCTAGTAGCGTCGTTGCTCCTAGTAGCGATGCCCTTTGTTCCTAGTAGCTTCTTGCTCATGTTCTGAGACAAGATTCACAATGTGAAGACCACCCCGGGTTGGAAAAGGACGGACAAATCAACCGACCAACTCGTTTCAGGAGAAAGGTCAACCATTTGGGACTTTTTTTAAGGCCTTGGTCTTAAGGCACCAAACCAAAGCAGCGATGATAGATTGGTGGATGCCAGACTGTTGGGAAGTACCAGTCAGTCTTGTCTGAAAAGCCCTGCCAGCGGGGACATTGGTACATCGTTTTGATTGTGTTTTGACTCATGTCCTTTGGTCCACTGTTGATCTCCTTCGCAGGTGTGACAGATGAACCTCCGTCCTGAGCCGAGAGGTAGGTGGGAATCATATTGAGACCATCCATCCATGTGCAGGTGGGAATGTGCAGAGTGGGTGCACAGGACCGAATGTTGTAACCTCATCTCTATGTGGGACATGTCTCACTTATGTAGAGATGGATCTACATGAAAAATCCAGATGTCAGGAATTGGAGCATGAGCATAGCCTAGCCATCTCGGCTGGCTTTGGCGCTGAGGTCGAAGAAGCGGAAACTCACTGAGGAGGAGATGAAAGAGAGAGAGGCCCACGTGTGACATGAAGCACATGGACTTCTTATTCAAGACGGGAGTACCAGGTCTGAGACCAAACAGGCAAGGAATGGTATGGCGCACGTGACGCGCACGTGACGGAGGTTTTGAGAGGACAGGGCACAGATCCACAGGGATCAACTGCTGTGAGAGTAATGTAGACTCTTGATTGGCTTAAATATGTCCAATCGAATTGGAAATTTGCTTCATATAGGGGGGTTCTTAATCAAAAGTCTACATTAGCAAAAAATGCCCTGGCCTGGCTCCAGTTGGCAAGGCGCGGACGCTCTTCGTGGGCAACGTGCCCTTGGAGTGGACCGAGTGGAGAGCTCAGCAGCGGGGTCATTAAGCCTGGCCGTTTCAGCAGCTTTGGCAGGTTCATTGGAAGAAATTGGGGGGCAAGAACCGTTTGGGCGGGCAAGAACAGCGATCGTTTCCATCAACACAGGTCAACATGTACCTGTTGGTATTTATTTGCTTGAGGGGGACCATACGATTCTTTGTTCCAGGGTGCCCTTCCTATGATCGAAGACTCATGTCCAACCTGGTCCATCCAGCACAGGACGACGAAGTCAGCTGCGTTTGCTGAGGAAAAAGCTGCGGTCAACGATCCGACAAGCCCTCGGCAGCTGCGGCTGCAGTGATGGGAGGTGAGCTGCAGAGAACCCTGCAGGTCTAGAAAGCTGAACCCTCCAGGACCTTCAAAGCTGAACCCCAGCGCGTCGGTTTGCATCGCTGCAGCCTGTCCTGTGGCACAGTGGCTGCTGCACCCACCTTGCCAACATGCAGGGTTTTTTTGGCCGTGGGCCAGGTACTCCAGGTCAGGTCAGGTGATATGTCCATATTTCCCCATAAGGATGTTCGTTTCGTGCTTTCTACCATAGCTCAAGCTGCCAGATTTCAGCTGCATGTGAGCAGCGCATGCTGTCCAAAACACGGTGAAACACCCAAGAACCAGCTGAGAAAGCGGAACGCGTGAGACCGCGTTGCCTGCGAAAGCCAGCGTCGCCTGAGCGTCGCCAGTCTCAACGGTCGATGAAGTCGTTTGTCCTGCTGCCCTCAAGCAGTGCTTTCGGCCCAACTCGGCTGCCCCTTTCTGAGGCAAAAGCTACGAGGGCTCCTTGAAGCAGCATGGCAGCAGGGCTACAAGGGAGAAAAACCGAGCGAGGCTGCCGCGGAAGGCGGCCATGCTCGCTTGAGTGATTGGAGAAAAGGTAAATGTATGTAAATGTACTTGTCAATGGTGTTCAAATTGTTTTATTATGAGGATGAAGCTTGCCAGGTGTTGTTGGTGTGGTTCTCGGATGTGTGTCCGTATTTGTGCAGAGGGGATTCCACAGGTGTTTTCTTGTGGACTTCTTTAGATGGTACTGCGATCCGCCAAGGCCCATTAGGTTTCGATCCATTCCTCTGGAAGAAAAGTGGAGTAAATCGAGCCAGATGCGCAAGGCAGGTTTTGCTTTGCTTTGCCAGCATTTGATGGAAGGGATGGCCACTGGCATTTGTTGTGTAAAGGCAAGGACCTTGTTGGCCAACAGGTAAATCCACTTGTCATCTTGCAGTTCTTACCTTTCATGTAGCGCATGTTTTTTTTCAAGCAAAAGGGGGAAGGGGTTTCGACCGTCCGAGTGTCGCAGGCAGGGCGCATACTTGGGAAGTATGCCCATGGCATGGATTTCAAGAACGCTTATGTGGTCTTGGATGCTCCCCAGAGCGTCCCGATCCTCAGTCCGAGGGTGCGACTCGGCGGTCGCCCAAGGCCGTGGTTTCAAAGGAGGCCCGGATACGGCCTGTACTAGTTTTGCATGTAGAAACAGGCGTTTCGGCCGTAAAGGGTGTATTTTTATGTTTAGATGAATTGGTTGGATTAGCTTTGGTACTAGTTGGATTCCATGGGTGGTTGTGGACCATTGGGGGATGAGCCTTGTCCTAGTGTGACTGCATTGCTACACTGTGGGATTGACATGCAGTAGCTCGCGAATTGAGGGCAGCGAAAGCAAGACCAAGCTTTGGCATCCTTCATATGTGGATCCATATGTGTTCGAGCCTTCAATTTGTCGTGCCAGGTGCCTGTGGTCGCCAAGGCAGTCAACAACCTTGAGGTGGGAGGAAACATGAGGAAGCAAATAATAAGGTGCTGAAGCCACCGATGATCCCTGGATGATTTGCTTATCCCTGGCCACGGATCGTCACATCCCTCGAGAAGGAGCTTCTAAATTGATAGTTCAACCCTGGAACTGATCGAAAAACATGTAGTTTCCAGCTTCATAAGTTCGCTGATCAAAAACGGCAATTATTTTCGGAGGATATTGTCCCAGCTAGGCCAAAATGCAAAAAGAATTCCTCACAACTTCGATTACGCCGTGCTGGACTCGCGGGGACTTGACATTGATCTCGCAACCTGCCATGGTCCTGATAACTGAGATTCCGGCGTCCTTTTGTTGCGAAGAAGCGGATATTGGTAGCGGTACGGCCCGGCCAAGCATTTGCAGGCAGACTCCGAGCACATTCTCAGAGCTGATGGTGTGGGGATGCTCATGAAAACGCATCACAGCATGCCATGCAGATAGAAAGAAAAGCTCAGGATTCGTTTCATTGACTAGAATACTAGATTTCCATCGAAGAGTTTGGCCCAAGAAAAGCTATTCAATCCACTGCTGCATTCTCATAAAAGGTAGAAGATTGTTGTGGGAAAGATGAACGGGTTGACACAGTAAGAAGACCAAACAGTTGGCGCTTGCAACGTCAACAGTTTGATTTGTTCGATCCCCATCAGTGTGAATCTGAGAAATCCATTGTGAAGAATTGCTTTGACTATCTTTGACTGATCCCACACAATCCCACCAGGTCTACCTGGCATAGTTACAAGTGATGATGCAACCCAAGATTCATATTTCGACCTTGCAACGTACCGTGGCTCACGGTTGAGGGGGGCATCCTCCAGCCCCGTTTTTAGTCCGTTTTTTGTTGGAATTCGATTCGACTGGTCGATACCGCTCGCAAGGTGGGCGAATCCGCTGCGTTGAAGAAGTTCGACAGGACAGGAGCGTTCGACACCTGCCGTTCGGCCGAGGTGTTTGCCGAGCGACTCGGTCGTTGTCCGTCGAAGGTCACCGAAACGATCCGACTCGGAATGCCTATCATGAGTATTCACTACTCACCGATGAGGCCCCTCTGGACACGTCTGAGGTGCAGAGAAGGAGGTACTGTTGCTACAGAACATCTGCACTCGAGACCCATGGAACGCCCATGTTTTGTTGGCCTTTACAGTATATAGATAGTTTTTGCAAAGTTGGGTATTCCAGGTGCAAGTGTTGTTGTCCATCAACAGCTGGGACCAACCACTTGTTGCATGCGGCAAAGAAAATAAGTCAAAGAAGGAGTCAGCACGAGCAGGTTTCAGCATACTCAAGTTCAAACGAATTACGGGTAGATCATTCTGTTTGTCTTCAGGATGTTCCTTGGGGCGAAGGTAGTAGTGCCCATCCACCGAGTTCGGCGTTCCGAGGAAGCGGAGTGTCTTTCTGGGTGGCCTGCCGAAACGTTGGCAGCTTAGTGTCACCCTTGGCCGCTCCAAAAAGAAGCACGAGATCAACCTAACAGCCAGCCCAACAGCAGCGAAAGGTGTTGCAATTCCATGCAATTCCCACAAAGCCCGTTTCCTGAAAGAACAGTCCAATCAGTCCAGTATTCATGCCTATTCCATGTGAACGCCCGTATATGAAGAGATTCACCGCGGTGACCATGTCACATGTGTCAGCGAGTGGTTCTCAGGAGTCACCGAGTCCGATCTCCGGTGGGTCCTCTACGATGCCGGGGAGGTGGACGCAGCCCCTTGGCTTGGAGAGAGTTTGGAGCTTGTCCAAGTACTGCTGTACTGCTGGAAGTTGAAGCTTCCGAAAGTATGGCTGTTGGAACTGATGGGTCCTTGAAAGAGAGAGAGAGAGAGAGAGCTGAGATGTGCCTGGCTTCAAATGTTGGACATGCCTAGAATGCATCCCCAACCAACCGATGGACCAGCATTTTGTGTGATAGAATGAAGAATCATCCTTTTGCGGAAGGAGTCTGTGCTCTGCTTATGGCACGCTGGCACACCTGCCCAGACCGGACGTTTGTGCTACGAACGGAGATCGCAAGGTGCGCATCGTCCGGGACAAAGTGAGCCAGGCGGCTTTCGCGGGGCTGGGCCAGGTGGTCGGCGTGTTGAAACATCCAAACAGGTTCCATGAATCCCATGGTTTTCATATGTTTTCATGTATTCCAAATTACCACTATAGGAGCAAATAGCTACTATAGTAACAAAGAGCATCGCTACTAGTAGCGTCCTTAGTAGCTCCTGGCCTTACTACTATAGTAGCAATATTTCAACAGGGGTCTGGCTTTGGCCTCCGCTATTGTCCGAACCTTCCAAGAACGGCGGAAAATGCATGAAAATCTAACCCTTTTGTACTTGTATACTTGTGTTTGTATCCTGTTTGAAAATTTTGTGCAAAAAGACATGCCATTGTTGCAAACATTTTGTTTGAACGCCAAAACCTTCGTTGTAACGAAGGAAGGGCACTGCTCATTGCATCCGTTTGCCTTTCAAACAGTGCGTCTCTGTTTGGAACAAAAGGATCTTTGCAAATGGGGAGCAGCCTTGGACAGCCCGATCCGCAGAAACATCGTACATGATGTTACCCGGGGGTGCCAAACCCGCCCTCCGACGGCTCCCGTCGGCCGAACGACCGGCACCGCCAGGATTGCAAGGGCTTTGCCTTCGCACGCTTCCAAGATCGGAAGAGCGTGAAGGACGGGATGTCGAGGGATGTCAAGAAGAGAAACACGTGGGTTGACCATGTCTGCTGGTGCCAGTATGGCTGCCAGTGCCAGAAACTCAGCACTCACAAAGTGGCAGGGTATGGCAGGGTTGTTTCCTTGTCATGTTGTAGTGCTTCCAGAATTCTGCAGCAAACTGTAGTTGTGGGATGTTTCAGTGGAGCTCATTGGAACTGCCGCTTGATTGTGAATGGCTGAAATCATTGTATATAAATGGCTGGAATCACAACCAAAAAGTAAAAAAATGGGGCCCAGCGGCGCACACAGGTTCCAAGTCTGCTGTAGCCACCCAGTTTGGCATCCATTCATATCCCGGCCAGAACGAATCTATGACGTTTTGCCGGTCAGGTTGCTCTGAATCTGTGGGGCCTCAAGATCCACGGCAAGGAGATCAGAATCATGAAGGCACGAGCTACGGCGGGTTTCGGTACGGCTTTTGGGCCTTGCCCTTTGGCCCTTTTGGCATTTGGTTTCGGTATGCCGGAGGAACAGGGTTCACAGTGTCACGAGCATACAGCAATTAAAAGGTGCATTCAAGCTTGCTTTGGACTTATGGAAGTCACTTTTGAGTCAGATCCATTGTTTGGTTGTACTTTGCAGGTAGCTAATTACTTAAGTTTCCCTAAACATCTAGGAGCCAAATCAAGCCAGTGCGAGCGCTTCTTCAAGGAAGCTTCCCCCCGCCGCCCTAACTACTACTGGGCTACCTCCAGCTACTAGCGGCCTGATCCTGCCAGACAGGTGGAGGATCAGGGCGAGACGGCCGAGAAACCATCCGTCGGTTCCGGAGAAGCCTGGTGGGGAGCCTCACGTCTTGTGGACACTCGGATCGGGGAGTGGACGCTCGTCGAAATAGCTTTGAACGTGGATTGAATGATTCAGACCTCCCATGCATGTGGTTTCCTCTTCATCACCGACACCCGATGTTGGGGGTCCTCTGACGCCACGCCCGAGGAGTCGACCGGAGGACCCGAAGAACTCGAAGGATCCCAAACGGATGATGCAGAAGCAGCAGCGACGACAACGAGCGAAGGTGGCGAACGGCGAACGAACCGTCTCGGCAAAGCTGCGGAGTCAGTGGATGGAGCTAGCTGATGGGCATGGCAGGAATGGATGATGGAGGTTGGTGGAATGGATGAGATGAGGGAAATTGAGGGGATCTTGACTCGGTTTCCGGTGATTAACTTACGCGGTCACTCAGTTGAGCACGGTCCGTTGCTACTTACCCAAACTCATGAGCCCAGTGAACCCACAGTGAACCCATGAAGAGCACGAAGCGCGTTTGGCAGCTGGTCAGCGTCAGAGCCAGGCCAAGAAGCAACGAGACTTCGTGCAGAACGCCAAAGCTGCGGGGCTGAGGCGAGGATCAGAGTTGACTACAGGGCTGGCGGAGTGCCCTGCATGGGCTGCCAAAGAGAAAGAAATCCAATCATATTCCAGTTGATTTGCAGCACTTGCCGCAGCTCCGGGGTAGCTGCTTTGCGAAATCGCCACTTGTCGCATGCTTTGCGAAATCGCCACATGCTGAGGACGAGCAAAAAGAAGACCCCAATGAAGAAGGGCAAGAGAAAGGTGCATGGGGCCATGGGGCCGGCAGTTTGTCGCACTACTCAGGTGATGGTGTGTGGTGAAGCAGCTGAAAGCTTGGAAGTCTAGAGTCTAGAGCTACGACTTGCAACACAGAAAACGAAGACAAGGAGTCGGCTCTAGTAGGCTGCACCATGGAATGAATGAGTAAAGACAAGAAACCACCATGAAGATATGGAAGCGGGGAAGATGCTTAACCTAGGAGTTGTAAGAGTTTGCAGGGTAATTTCACCGTCCTGCTTGCAGGTGAAGAAGCAGAGTAAGGGCTGACAAGCCAGTGCGAGCGCGCTGCTACGCACCAGGAGATTGCTTTGTGAACAGAACATGTGCTTCACAGGCTGCAGCGATCGCCAGAGCCCGGCGTTGGACCATCTTGCCAGAGCCCACCGGCACGCACAGAGCCATGTCCTCCTTTGTTCGACGGAAAAAGCCCAAGGGGCGCACTCTCAGAAGCAAACAAAATCAGGAAGTCGCGCTTTGATTTGAACGGGCTGAAAAAGGGTGCTTGTTGCTGGCGCATGCCCAGAAAGTCTGAGGGCTCATCAACATGAAATGGTCCTCCCTTTGATCTCGGCATGTGTTCCACCATGCTCTGGAGATGTGGGGACATGTGTCCCCCCTGGCAAGACATCATGAAATCATATAAAATCGTATCCTGCCACATGTCGCTTGCTTCTTCCCCGCAACAGCTGGGCTTTAGTGACTCACGTTGAGACCAGAAACTTGAATTGGATTGAATTGGTGCATTTGTCGGACATAGCAGCCAATTGACCTTTTGCAGAGAGGATCTGGGAGATTTCGGATGCACTGGACTCACTGGACTTACGAGAACCAGTGTTTTGCCCGCAAAACCAACTTACTTAGATTATAAATCTCAAATGCCTTCTTCCAATGGCGAAGAGGTGGAAACCGAGGCCATTCGCTTTGTCCTTCCTCGCAGATCCCGAATCGGGTTTTAGAACGGGTACGGGTCACCAAAGGTCAATCTAAGGGGGTCAATCTGGGTCAATCTGGTGGAGCAGCGCAGAAATCGCAGAAGCCATCTATGTGGCCATCCAACTTGCAGGAGCTTGGATGTTACATGCGGCACTTTAAGTCTCACATGTTCAAGAATTGCCCAAAAACCTGGGGGGGGTGCTTGGACATTGGATTGCAAAGCTGTCGCAACCTCCAATGGAGACACGCATTTCGGATTCCCTTTGGCCAGTCTCACAGGCGAGCGACAAAGAGAGCGAAGCCTTCTACACCGACTTCGAATCCTTATCCTCCTGCTCGGAGGCTGTCCACAGGGCACACCATTGCTGCCAAAGCGAAGAACCGGTCCGCTCAGTGGGTCGATTGCAAGAATCCTTACCCGCCGTTCTGTTTTATTTGGCCCACTCCCCCCTCCCTACTAGTAGTCAATTAAGTAGGCGCCTACTGAACTAAGTGAGCTACTACCTTACTCAAGCTCCTAGCATGGATGCAGGATAGCTCACGCTTCAAGGAAGCTCTCAAGCTTCCTTGCTTGAAGAAGAGCTCGTACTATTAAGTTCTCCCATACTTACAGTAATGAAGCAGTTCCTCACGCGACTCAAAGCAGCGGCCAGCTTTTTTTTGCGGGGACCAAAGAATCCCATTCCTGGTCGTATAAAGAGAAGCAAAAATGAACAGGCCGTAGCGTAGCCGGCGGCCCATGACTGGGGAGAAGTGTTTTGCCATCAACTGTTTCCCCAAACAGGTTCACCTGTGAGGGGTTCTTACTCCTTTGAAAGGGGTACGTGACCGGGCTGCATGATTTTACATTTGTCTCCGGGCTTGCGTTCCTGCCACACTGTGGTTGCTTCGGCCGCATGATTTAACCCCCACTTCAGCCTCAACCTCTCACTCAGTCAACTTCACTCGATTTCTCATTCAACCTCAACTTCAACCCCTCACTCAACCTCAACCTTTTTCACTCAACCTCAACCCCAACCTCAACCCACCTCAACCTCAACCCCTCACTCAACCTCAACCTCAACCTCAACCCACCTCAACCTCAACCTCTCACTCAACTTCAACCTCAACCTCAACACCTCAACCTCAACCGCTTAACCCCAACCTCAAGCTCTCAACCTCAACCTCAACCTCTCACCCAACTTCAACCTCAACCTCTCACCCAACTTCAATCCGACCCAACTTCAACCTACTGAGGTGCTATCCTTTGCCCTACTTCTTATGGAGGGAGGGTCGCTCCGGCTCAAACGCGATCGACGTTTCACCACACGTTTGAGCGCTCGACGCGCACGATCCTCGCAGAGGGTCACCCGTGCCCACTCAAAA